GGTGGGGGTCGGGGGCGGAGGTCGGGGGCTGCCACACTGAAATCCCTTCTCCTCCATTCTCTTCTCAGGATTTTGGACACAGTCACACATGCCCCTGATGTGAGTTTTAAGCCATTAGGTCCAGGATGTGAACCATGGCCGACTACCTGAGAGTCCAGTAAGGTAATCATTACGCCATCTGCTGGTCCAGTTTTGTAGTTCTTTTATGCAACTGTGAGACACGCCCATGTTGTTGTCTATATCAAAAGTTCCTTTTATTCTACTAGTAGTCATTGTCCAAGGTATGAATATGTCAAAAGATACAAATATGCTGTAGTATCTGAATATGTTATTGTATGCCTCAATCATTTGTTTAATCACTCAGTTATATTCCAAAATGTGAGTAATCACAAATGTCCCTTTACCCAACGTTTGTTTTGCATCTGTTTTGGGAACTATTATGTATGAAGGTGCTTTGTGTGGATATTAATTATTATTTAACAAAATACTTTGAAATATTAGAAATGGACAAATTCTCAAAATGATTGCACTATTTTACATCCCTACTAGGTACATCTGAGGGTCATAGCTATGCTTTTGGAGATGGGACATAAACGTCTAGAGAGGTAGCTTGGGGGATCCTGATGTTTTCATCAGATCAGTCCCTTCCCACACAACTTCTACTGTCAGTTCATCTATTCCGTTTTAGTGGTCTTGATATATTAGGCTGAAACCCACTTTTTGACTACAGGGGGAAAAAAAGGCTAAAATTTTACATGGAGAACATTTTAATGGATTTTTTTTTTTTGATGGATGTGTTTTCCATTTCTCTCCATCTCTCCTGGTTCTAGTCAACATTCTCAAGTGAATAATGAATTATTCCTGACTTTTGAAAACTCTGGAGGGAGTTTAAAAGAGTTTTCCAAGTTTCTGGGAAGCCCTGAAAAGTACAGTACATTCGCTCACAATGAGTTAATTGTCTAGGGTGTTCTGTACACTGCAAGCCTTGCTCCAGTTTTCAGTCATCCTGATGTCATAGAATCATGTTCTTGAGAAAACTAGGCTGATGTGGAAGTGCTGTCAGTTCAGATGACCAGATATCTATGATTAACAATGACAATCAGGGATGGAAGGGTCAATGTCTGTCATCCAGATCT